CACACGTGTCGTGACCCCCTAGGGAGCTCCACCGAAGGCCCCAGTGGCGAAGTTCGCATGCAGTTCCACCCCCAGTTTGGCCCACCCCTCACACGGTTCGTGGCCCCGTAGAAAGCTCCACCGAAGGCCCCAGTGGCAAAGTTCGCATGCGGTTCCGCCCCCATTTCGGCGCACCCCTCACACGGTTCGTGGCCCCATAGGGAGCTCCACCGAAGGCCCCAGTGGCAAAGTTCGCGTGCAGTTCCACCCCCATTTCGGCGCACCCCTCACACGGTTCGTGGCCCCTTAGGGAGCTCCACTGAGGACAGGATTTACCATTGCGTTACTCACAACTGCATGGGGTTGGATCCTTCGCCAGGATGATTGTTTTTTTTCCGCAAGGGAGTCAAAGATGCTCCTCGGCGCTCCTCGCCGAGGAAAGAAGGGCCCACGTCCGGGAGGTGCCGAGGGCAGGCGACTGGCACGTAGGCAGGCGGGAGACGGAAGAGCGTCTGCGGTTCGAAGGGGAGGCGGGGTGCGCCTCGAGGGCCCTCGCCGAGGAAAGCAGGGCCCACGTCCGGGCGATGCCGAAGGCGGGCGTCTGGCACGCAGGCAGGCGGGCGGGAGATCGAAGGGGCGGCCGCGGAGGAGGAGAGCGGAGGGCGACGCCAGGGCGATGCCGGAGAGGAGGGCGACGCCGGGAAAGAGCAGGCGCCCGCCCGAGCGATGCCGAGGGCAGGCGAGCGGCACGCAGACGGGCGGGAGGCAGGCGGAGGCGGCCGCGGAGGAGGCCAGGACCTAGGAGGGGAGGGCCTCCAGGAGGGGGGCGCCCAAGAGGGGGCGTCCAAGAGGAGGCCAAGACCAGGAGACGGTCTCCCTCTTGGGCGCCCCCCTCCTGGACGCCCCCCTCTTGGAGGCGACGCGGCCAGACCGTGGCTCGCCATCGCCTCGGGCGGCCGTGCCCCGCGCACCGGTGTCGTCTTCGTACGTGCGTCTGTTTGCTCGGCGGTCCAGGAAATCTGCGCGGGCCTTCGCACCCCCTTCCTCCCCTCCTCCCCTCCTCCCCTCCCCCTCCCCATCCCCCTCCTCAGCCCCCCCCTCCCCCCCCTCCCCTCCTCCTCTCCCTCCTCCCCCCTGCTCCTCATACTCCTCCCCCTCCTCCCCCTCCCCCCCTCCTCGATGGTCCTCGCCGAGAAAAAAATACCCTGCGACGTACCCAACCCTTTCTATACATGTGGTGGTTACATTCGGGACCACTCCAGGCTGATGGGCATGCTGAAAAACCCGCAGTGCGGAAGAAGGGCACCCATCGGTGAACTCAGAAGAGCGCAGCAAGAAGAGCAACGGCAACGCGTAAGACGTAACTCTGCTGGGCCTCCCAGGAGCCCACGAAAGTGGCGACCGTTGCGCAGATCGCAGCCCCCAGGGCACCGCGAGGTCTCGAGGTGGTCCGCGTGGGACCCACCTCCGAGGGCCTCCCAGGAGCCCACGAAAGTGGCGACCGTTGCGCAGATCGCAGCCCCCAGGGCACCGCGAGGTCTCGAGGTGATCCGCGTGGGACCCACCACCGCTGGGCCTCCCAGGAGCCCACGAAAGTGGCGACAGTTACGCAGATCGCAACCCGACGGCACGAGAGAAGAGGAGAGGGGAACACAGGAAACAGGAGAGGAGGAGGGGAGGAGGGGGGAGGAGAAGAAGGACGGGGCGACCACACTGCTCTATTCAAAACGAGTACCCAACCATAGGAGGGTTGGGAAATACACACGTCCGAGCGATGCCAAGATGGAGGACTTCGTGAGCTGCGTGGCGGCGTCGGGCTCCCGGTGGGAGCCGTGCCCCTCTGGTTGCCAGCGGGGGGGGGGCCCTCTGTCAGGAGATAGAACATCGGCGAGGGCCCCTCTCCCTCTCTCTGGCTGCCCGCCCACATGCGCGACGAAAAGAGAAGAAGAGCGCCTCTCGCACCAAGATGCGGGCGGCAGGGTGACCCTACGCGGCGGCCTGCGCGGCCCGCCGGCGCGGCACGCCACAATGGAAACGAGGGCGCTGACGCACCATCTTACGCGCAAATTTCCGCGCAGTCGACCCCGTTCCCAGGGGGGGGCCGCGCTCGGGCCCCGCCTCTGCAAGGAGGAGGAGGAGGAGGAGGAGGAGAATGAGGACGAGGAAAAGGAGGGGGAGGGGGATGATGACGATGAGGAGGAGGAGGAGGAGGAGAAGGAGGAGGAGGAGGAGGAGGAGGAGGAGGAAGCAGGAGGAGGAGGAGGAGAGAGGAGGGGGCGGGGGAGGAGGGGGAGAGGGAGGAGGAGGAGGAGGGGAGGAGGAGGAGGAGGAGGAGGAGGAGGGGAGGAGGAGGAGGAGGGGGAGGAGGAGAAGGGAGGAGGAGAGGAGGAGGAGGAGGAGGGGGAGAGGGAGGGGGAGGGGGAGGAGGTGGAGGAGCAGGAGGAGGAGGAGAAGGAGGAAGAGGAGGAGGAGAAGGAAGAGGAGAAGGAGGAGGACCTGTGTAAACCCAAGAGTCATCAACGATGTTGGAATAAACCCTCTCTCCCAGCTCCCTCTTCACAGGCACCATACAACGGTTCATTACCATTGAGGGATCTGCCTCGTTGGAAGACAACCGTCTGAAGACCCTGACGCATGCCAAAACATTGTTCTCGGGATCCCAACTCCACGGATCAACCTGTCTGTTGCGTCGTGACGAACGCCATTATGCCATTCCTGACTGAATCGTGCCAGAATGCCATTCCTCGGACTTCAACACCGCGAACAACGTAACCGTTGCACCCGCATAATCCCGAATCCGGCCTAAACAATATTTCTGGTATGTTGATGAACCCGTGAATGTTTTGCAAATGTTCTAAAAGAATGTGCACGGCGCTGAGGCGAGCGCCCCGTTTTGACAAGGAACCGACCTCGACCCGTGAAACTCTCGCAAGTATCAACAACGAATGTGCGCGGCGCTGAGGCGAGAGCCACACTTTGAAAACGGCCCGCCATCCATATGTGAAACGGTTGACAATGGTTAAGCTTCAGAGTCATACATGGTGAGGAAGTCTCAGGCGAAACGCCCGGCCCGCCCTAAAAACTGGCCTCGAGATGCAATGGGGGAAATTATGTACCAGGAAAAGGAATTGAGGAGGAGGAGGAGGAGGAGGAGGAGGAGGGGGAAGGGGAGGGGGAGGGGGGGAGGGGGAGGGGGGAGGGGGAGGAGGGGGAGGAGGAGGAGGAGGAGGAGGAGGAGGAGCAGGAGGGGAGGAGGAGGAGGAGGAGGAGGGGAGGAGGAGGAGGAGGAGGAGGAAGGGGAGGGGGGGCGGGGGAGGGGGAGGGGGCGGGGGAGGGGGAGGGGGAGGGGGAGGGCAAGGGCAAGGGGGAGGGGGGGGGGAGGGGAGGGAGGGGGAGGAGGAGGAGGAGGAGGAGGAGGAGGAGGAGGAGGAGGAGGAGGAGGAGCAGGAGCAGGAGGAGGAGGAGGAGGAGGAGGAGGATAGGAGAGGGGTGAGGGGGAGGGGGAGGATGAGGAGGAGGGAGGAGCAGGAGGAGGAGGAGGAGGAGGCGGAGGAGGAGAAGGAGCAGGAGGAGGAGGAGGAGGAGGGAGGAGGAGGAGGAGGAGGAGGAGGCGGGGGAGGGAGGAGGAGGAGGAGGAGGAGGAGGAGGTGGAGGAGGAGGAGGAGGAGGAGAGTGGAGGAGGAGGAGGGAGAGGGGGAGAAGGGGGGGGAGGGGGGGGAGAAGGAGGAGGAGGAGGAGGAGGAGGAGGAGGAGGAGGAGGAGGACAGGTGTAAGCATAAGAGCCACAAACGATGTTGGAATACACCCTCCCTCCAAGCCCCCCCCCTTCATAGGCCCCTACAACGGTTCATTACCATTGAGGGATCTGCCTCGTTGGAAGACAACCGTCTGAAGACCCTGACGCATGCCAAAACAGTGTTCTCGGGATCCCAACTCCACGGATCAACCTGCCTGTTGCGTCGTGACGAACGCCATTCTGCCATTCCTGACTGAATCGTGTCAGAATGCCATTCCTGGGATTTCAACACCGCGAATCAACGTAACTGGTGCACCCGCAAAATACTAAGCCCGTCCAAAACACTATGTCTGGTACGCTGATCGCGGGAATTCGTGAAACTCTTGCAAATGTTGTGAACGAATCTGCGCGGCGCTAAGGCGAGAGCCACAATTTGAAAAGGGACCGCCCTCAATCCGTGAAAATCTCGACAACGTTTAGAAAGAATGTGCGCGGCGCTAAGGCGAGAACCACAGTTTGAACACGGGTTATCCTCAATCAGCGAAATGATTGCAAGTGGTTAGAACGGATGTGCGAGGCGCTAAAGCGAAAGCCACAGTTTGAAAACGGGTGATCCCCAATCCGTAAAAATCTTGCATTTGTTTAGAACGAATGTGCGCGGCGCTAAGACAAGAGTCACAATTTGAAAACCAGTCACTCCCCATCTGTGAAACTGTTGCCAACGGTTAAGCTTCAGAATCAAAAATGAAGTATCAGGCGAAACGCCTGGCCTGCCCTAAAAACCGCGCTCGGGGTGCAACAGGGAGAAGTTATGTATAAGGAAATGGAATGGAGGAGGAGAAGGGAAAAGGCGGAGGGAGGAGGAGGAGGCAGAGTAGGAGGAGGGAGGAGGAGGCGGAAGGAGGAGGAGGAGGGGAAGAGGGCCAGGAGGAGGGGTAGGGAAGGGGAGGAGGGGGCACGAGGAGGACGAAGAGGCGGAGGGGGTGAGGAGGAATAAGGAGAGGAGGTAAAGGGACGAGGCCAAGGAGGAGGAGGAGGCCAAGGAGGAGGAGGAGGAGGAATCGGAATAGGAATAGGAAGAGCAACATGACGATGTCAATGAAAGAAAGAATTACCCATCAGCCTGTCGTGCCACCATCTCGGCAGCGCTCAGGACCTTGGAGGAGGAGGGGGAGGAGGAGGAGGAGGAGGTGGAGGAGGAGGAGGAGGAGAAGGAGGAGGAGGAGGAGGAGGAGCAGGCCACGGAGAAAGAGGAGGCAGCGGGGGTCGCGGCGCGCGCGCGCGCCCCGGCGGCGACGATGCTCCGCCCGCAGGACGCCAACGGTGACTGCGGTGGCCACCTGAAGAGAAAGCTCGCTGCGTGCCTCTCCTCTCCCATCCTCCTTCTAGTCCGCCTCCTCCTCCAGCTCTTCCCCACCATCGTCAACATTGTCCTACGACTTTCCTACTTGTTATTAGAATTATTGCTATTGTTATTCCGCCTCCACCTCCTCATGATCATTATCATCATCGTCACCATGAGCATCAGCATCATCAGCATCAGCATCATCAGCATCATCAGCATCATCATGATCATCATCAGCATCATCATCAGCATCACCGTTACCAACATCAGTACCATAATCCTTGCCAGTAGCAGCATCATCAGCAGCAGCAACAGCATCAGCATCAGCAGCAGCAGCATCATCAAGCAGATACATCCTCACTATCAGCATCAGCATCATCATCAGCAACAGCAGCATCAGCAGCATCATCATCAGCAGCAGCCGCATCATCATAATCACCGCTACCATCATAAGTATTATCATCACCATCACCAATCACATCATCATCATCAGCAGCAGCATCATCATCATCGTCAGCATCATCATCGTCATCATCATCAGCAGCATCATCAGCATCATCATGATCATCATCATTATCATCGTCACCATCACGATCATCATCACCATCAGCAGCAGCAGCATCGGCAGTACCACCGGAAGCATCAGCCCGAGGATTCGTACACGCATGATCATCACCACCCTTTCCCCAACAACGGCACTACGATTGGTAAATGTCTGTGGTGATCCAAGCAAGCGGTACTGAGACTCTTTTGAGAGGCTACTCAAAGTGGCACTGAGACGCTACTGAAAGTGGCACTGAGACACAGAAGAATCATCAACACCATCATCAGCAGCAGGATCGTCCTCAGCGTCGTCTCGTGGCCGTTCCCGGCAACCAGGCCATCATCGCCATCGCCATCGTCACATCAACATCCTCGTCATCCTCACCAACCTCCTCCTGTCTATGTTCTCATCCTGGCTGGAGCCCGCTCGGGACGGACCACGAGACCATCCCTGGGAACCGTGCATCACGTGTCCGTTTCTCGCGCTGCGTCCAGACATCAGCGGAGGCGAGAACGCCCAGCTGGGGCCCCGAGACATTTCGCCTCTCCCCTCCCCCCACCTGACAGTGATGAGAAGATGTGGGAGAACCTCTGACAAGCTCTGTCAAAGCCTCCTGCTCCTCCTTTTCCCTCCATTAGGAATCCTCCCCCCCCATCCCCTGCCTCCACTCAGAGCGCGCCATAACCAGATTTCGAAGCGGATCCAGCCGTGGTGACAGGGGCCTTCCACGAGGCCCGACAAGGCCTTGAGGGTCAGAGACTCTCGTCGATGTCCTGAAGACGCTGGTCGCCTCCAGCCAACAACTGCCAACGGCTCCATAAGACCTGCCTCAGGGCCACATGCAAAGGTCACCCAGGCCTTGCAGCTCAACGCAAGAGGCAGGATCATCACCACTACCACCGCCATCATCATCGTCTAACCGCCCCCCCCTCCTGGGGGAGAGGCGGTTTTTTTCCACGGTAGGGGATCGAATCGGGGGGGAGGGGGAGACTCTCACCCTACGCGACGCTGGCAAACCAAACAAACGACGACGACGACGACGACGACGACGACGACGACCACCACGACCACCACGACCACAACCACGACGACGACGACGACGACGACGACGACGACGACGACGACGTAAACGTCGGCGACGACGGCGACAGCGTCGACAACTTCAGCGGCGGCGGCGACGACAACGAAGACGACAACGACGACGCCAACGACGACGACGGTTCCATCCAGCTATGGTAGAATCGGGCAGGGTCCAACTCTAGTGTCTAGCGGAATCCCACTGGAGCTCGACCCAGCTCTAATGGCATCGTTCTGAAGCTCATTCCAGCTGGAATAGGAACATAGGAGGGTTCATTCCACCTATAATGAAACCCTGGTGGAACGACACCCAAACAGGACTGGATCCAGCTTCATGGGGTTCTACTAGGGGTGGGTCCAGCTCTAGCACAATCCTACTAGGGCTCGATCCCACGAAGGCCCGATCCAGCTCTGATAGAATCCGATTCGGGTCCAGCCCAACTCGGATCGACGACGACGACGAGGACGAGGACGAGGACGACGACGACGACGACGACGACGACGACGACGACGACGACGGCATCGGGTTCGATCGGTCCGCGCCGCCGAGGCCCCCGCCAGACCGCACAGGCCCGCGCAGCTGCCGCCGCCGGTCCCGCGGCCAGCGGGCTCCGCCGCGGCGCCGCCTCCGCGCCGCGACGGCTGGGCCCGAAGGGCGCCACCAGCGACAAAGACGACAACAACGACGAGGACGAGGACGAGGACGAGGACGAGACGACGACGACCACGACGACGCCGAGGCGGACGACGACGCCCACGCCGAGGCCGAGGACGACGACGCCGACGCCGAGGCCGACGCCGACGCCGACGCCGACGACGACGACGACGACGACGCCGACGACGACGCCGACGACGCCGACGCCGCCGACGACGACGACGACGACGACGCCATCGATTTTCGAGCTTCGCGATCTTCTGCATGGAGTGTTGGGGCGTTTCCCGCCCTCCGTGGGCCTGCGGGCGGCTCCTCATCGGCGCGGCTGGATCCGCCTGGGGATTGCGGCCAGGGCGCACCCCGAGACTGCTTTGGGGGTCGATGAGCGTCCCCCGGCCGACCACCCCGTGGCGTCGCGGAAAACGTAGCACCGGCAAGGTGCTTGGCCATGCGGCCCCGGGGGGGCCGGACGGGGCCCCCCGCGCCGTCGGAGGACGACTCGGGCCGAAGAACTCGGGTAGACACACCTCTTGGAACGACTTTCCTTGATCGGTAGCCAGCACACCCACCACCCACACCCCGTTGTTCTGTTGTTATACTGTTCTCCCCACGGGCCCCAGGAAGCCGACTTCCTCAACAGCAAAAACAAACGAAACGTCCGGTGTCTAGGGACGATTGTTTCGACGATCATTACGGCGCTGCTGACGACGAAGACGGCGACGACGACGACGGCGACGGCGACGGCGACTTCGGCGTCGCACACAAACGGCGGAGGCTGCGACGACGACGACGACGACGGCGAAGACGACAGCGACAAAGACAATGGCACGGACGACGTGGGTGACGAGGGAAAGAGCAGGAGGCGGCGAGGGAGAAGAGCGGGAGGCGGAATCAAGAGGAGGCAAAGCTGAAGGGGGAAAGTGTCAGGGCTGGAATCGGCTGGAAACTGACCTGGGGGGTCGGGAGACATGTGCTCCCCCTTCATCGTTGCTTCCTCCTCCTCCTCCTGCTGCTGCTGCTCCTCCTCTTCTTGCTCCTTCCCCTCCTGCGCCTCCTTCTCCTCCTCCTTCAACTCATCATCCAAGTCCTCCTCCTCCACAATACACAATATGAATACTAACCTCCTCTTTCCCCTGATGACGTTCGGAAAAGATTCGACCCCCCTCTGCGTATTGTTCTTTACACAGGATTCCCGGGAGTTGGGTTTTCGCTTGGGCTTTTGTTAGAAATGTTGTTCCCGCTGAAGCGCTGGCCTCATTTTCGGGTTTCCGCTCGTTCCAAATCGTGCTCCGGCTGCGCTGGCCTGATTTCCGCGCTTCCGCTCGCTCCAAATCGTGCTCCCGCTGCAGCGTTGGCGTCATTATTTCCAGTGCCATGCCACGGCAAGCAATGCAATGCTATGTGGTGCTCCGCTGTGCGATGCCATGCCTTCAGCTGAAATGAATGCTAGGATATGCAGCACTTGACTACGCAGTGCCACGACATGCTATGCCATGCTACGTTTTAATCTTCAGCGCCATGCTATGCCATGTTGTGTTCTGTGCCGCTGTGCGATACCGTTATTTGCGCTGCAACGCCTTGTGATGCAATTCTTCACTACGCAACGCCACGCCACGCTATGACATACTAAGCTCTGCCGTGCTCTTCTACGCCCTGCGATGCAGTGCTCTACGATGCATTGCGCCCCCCTTTGGGATCATTGCCCTGCTCGACATCCGACTGTGCGAATGGAGAGGAGATGTACGCCATGGTAAGGGATGGAATGGAGGGGTAGTACGTCAAATATGACGCGGGCGCACCTATCTTGTCCTCCTCCCCCTCCCCCTCCTCCTCCACCCCCTCCATCGTCATCATCAGGAGGATCATCATCATCATCATCATCATCATCATCATCATCATCATCATCATCATCATCATCATCATCATCAGCAGCATCATCAGCAGGACCATATTCATCATCATCATCATCATCATCATCATCATCATCATCATCATCCTCATCCTCATCCTCATCCTCATCAGCATCATCATCATCATCATCATCATCATCATCATCATCATCATCATCATCATCGTGATCATCATCATCATCATCATCAGCAGCAGCAGCAGCATCACCGTCATCATCATCGTCATCGTCGTCACCGTCGTCGTCGTTGCCGTCGCCGTGTCTGTCGCCGTCGCCGTCGTCAACGTCGTCGTCGGCGTTGTCGTCGTTGTCGTCGTCGTCATCGTCATGGTCACCGTCATCGTCATTGTCATCATCAGTGAGTTCACACCCACAGTCGCCATTATCGCAACCATCATCGCCAATATCAACATGCTACCTACCACCACAACCATCAGCATCATCATCATCACCACACTCACCATAATCACCATAATCAACACAATCATAACAAGCAGCACCATCATGAGCTACCACCATCATGATGACAGACAGCAGCAAAAGTATCATCATTACCACCACCTCCATCATCATCATCGTCACCAGCAGCAGTAACAGCAACATCAGATCAGCATCATCAGCCTCATCATCATCATCAGCAGCATCATCACCATCATCGGCATAAGCAGCATCATCCCACCATCACCACAACCACCATCATCATCATCAGCATCATCACCACCTTCATCATCATCATCATCGTCCTCATCATCATCATCGTCGTCGTCATCATCGCTACCATCATCGCCACCAACATCAAATGCTAAATCTTCATCGTCGTAATCACAATTATCAGCACCATCATCATCGTCGCCAACATCACAATCACCACCTTTCAGTAGCACCAGCACCATACTCATCAGCCGCATCATCATGAGTACCACCACCTCCATCATCATCATCAGCATCATCATCATCGGCATCATCATCATCATCAGCATCATCATCATCATCATCATCATCATCATCATCATCACAACCACCACCATCAGCAGCACCAGTATAACCATCACTAACATCTTCATCACCCTCATCGCAATCCATGATCATCCACCGTATCCCCTGCTCCTCACTCTTCTCATCCTCTTCCCATCTCCTTCCGCCTCCTATTCCTCCTCCTCCTCGCCCTCCTCGTCGTCATCATCATCACCACCCACCCATAGCTACTCCCCCTCCTCCTCGCTTCCGTCCTCTACCTTCATCACTCCCTCCGCCCTTCCTCCCCCCCCCCTCCTTTTCCCTCCCTCCATCCGCCCCTCCCCCTCCTTCCACGTCCCTCGCCCCTCCCCACAGCACCTCAAACCTGATCATGCGGCCCCGCCCTTTGTCATTCTTATCCTGTTAAAAAGATCTGATCCTGGTCAGGCCACCAGGTGTGCCGGTTGGGCGGGCCCACCGTTTCGCCCGAGACACCATCACAATATATATATATATTATATATATATATATATATTATATATATATATATATATATATTATTATATACAACATACATACATACGTACATACATACATATATACATATATACAAATATATGGTTGTGCATATATATATATATATATATGTGTGTTTATATACATATATGTGTATATATATATATACATATCGATATATACATACATACATGCATACATACCGGACCCCTCGGAAGCAGCAGTTCGGATGCCATTGACGCTGAGTGCCTCTACGATCGGGCTACACCCGAAATTAAACCGCGTGGTCACACACTGACGGGAAACGAAACGCAGGTCTGAACGCCTGCTCGCGCCTACGAGGTCTCATGGTGTCGGCATCCAGTGTTCTCGAGTCACATCCTGGGCCTTGCCTGGCAACAGGGGCGGGAAAAGACGAGCCTCAGGATGAGCGCGGCGGGGGAGGAGAGGAGGCTCCAGAGGCTCGAGAGGCGAGGAGAGGTAAGGAGGCTCTGGGGCGCTGGGCAGGCTAGGCTCGGGGGGGCTCAGAGGGGCTCTGCCTATCGGCCTGGGCCAGTGCTCGAGCATGTGCCAACAGCGAAGCTGTCCACATCTCAGCACGGGAACGCGTCGGAGTAGCACTCGTAGGTGGACGACGTGGGCTTCCCATGCCCAGAACAACTGGCGTAAGTGCGCTCGAAGATGCGAGAGGTGGGCCGTCAGAGGCCCTGAGCAACAGTGGTAGAAGTAGGCGCACCCTGCGATGCAAGAAAGCTCCCCATGCCCTGAACCAACGGCGTAGAAGTAGGCGGGCCCTGTGATGCACGCGGTGGGTTTCCCATGCCCCGAGGGGAATTGCCTCCCGAAGGTCGGTACTCTCTGTCTCCAAAGGCCCTCAAATCGAGCGAAGAGAGCGACGCACCCAAAAGATGGCGAGAGGGCAGAGGAGGTGGGCGGTGCGTGCCTGCGGGTGGCTCTGCGGAAGTTGGCGCCCTCTGCGACGCGCGAGGCGGGCTTCCCGCGCCCTGGAAAACTGAGGATGCAGGCGCACTCTGCGATGCAAAAGGTGGGCCCCCCATGCCCTGTACAACTGGCGAGGAAGAAGGCGCACTCGTAGAAGCGCGCGTTGAGCCTCCCATGCCCTGAACAACTGACGTAGAAGTAGGCGAACTCCCTGATGCTGGCGAGAATCCCCCATTGCCCATCGCCGCTGTATTCTGTCGAACTCTAAGGCCTCATTGCGCGCAACTATGCATTGCCCAATGAAAAGCAAAGAAGTCTAAACCGTGAGTGCACCCTCTAACTGCGTCGGCTTCGCGCGAAGGCCCCCCCCCCCCCACCCCCCGCCCCACCCCCCACCCGCCCACCCACCCCCACGTGCACCATCGGCCCCTGTCCTGGCTTGTAGCTCGCTCGCGTCTGGATGAGTGAGTCGTGAATCACGCTGGGGTCGACGTCGCCCCTGGAGTTGAAGCTGATCTGGAGCTTGCACTGCGCTGCGTCGCGAGCGTGGCTGGCCTTCACGAGCGGTGCGAGCTCGACGATCTGCTTGATGTCCACAATTTTCAGCTTTTCGCCGAGCGTCGTAAGGTTCTGCTGGTTGAGACCGCCGACGGACGCGCCTTCCTGCCGAAGACCCTCGAGCAGAACTGCGAAGGCCGCTGTGCTGATCGCGCCGATCTTCGCCATCTCTGCGTCGATCTGCGGCGCCGCCGTCGAACTGCGAATCTCTTCGTTTTTTCTCCGCGCCCGAACTCGGGCTCGGATCGCCGCGACGCTTTTGGAGCCAGGGGAGACAAGGTAGGTCTTGAGCAATCGTTTCACGACTATGGGAAACAAGGGCTGAATGTCTTTCAAGTCCATCGCCTCCATCGAACGAATCCAAGTCCACAACCTTGCACTTCGACCCGCTGTTAAGGTCGCCGCGCTCTCTTTGCTGTCGGCGGCGGGACTCGCGAGCAGGCTGCTCCGCATCTGCCGCGGCTGCGCCCGCGAGCTCTCCGGCGCCGGGTAGTGAGTTCATCCGCGACGCGGGGCCAGGTGCTGGGAGGTGCTCAACGGCGACGCGCGCTTGCAACTCGCCAAGCGCGGCGAAGGTGAACTCGCAGTCGTCGCTCGGGCAAAACGGCCGCGGCGGATCGTTCGCATCGAAGTTGTAAACGGAGCGGTGTATTTGGCACCTTCCAGTATGATAAGCAGCAGCAAGACGGTGAATCGCAGCCTGTCGGCTCGCAGACGTCGATCGGCAGTTAGGGCATTGGTTCGTCATCGTGAACCGCGCGCGTTCGCAAACTCGTCCGCGCTCGCCCCCCCCCCCCCCGCTCGTCGTTCGGCGCACTCGGAGCGCTTGTTCTGATTCGGCCCCGAACGAGCACGACGCGCCATCTTCGCACAGGAGGCCGCACGCATGGGGGCTTTTCCATGAGACAGCTGCATCTTGAACGCTGCGTGGTAGAGCGTTCCAGCCACCACTTTCGCATGCGTCAATCGCGAGCTCAGCACAGACATCTCGGCCAGGCGCCGGGCGAAAAATGTCGAGCAGATGTTATCCGATAACGTCGAGGCATGCGCGCCCGTCAGCACATGCCTGCAGCAACTTCATATCATCGAAGAACTGTTTGCGCCACGGCTTGGTCACATGCACGGGGGGGCCACCATCTGAGCGCGCAGGGGCCCAATCAAAGTCCATAGTCGCCGTGGCCTCGCAGAGTAGCGCTCCGAATGCACAGGCTGGCAGTTGAGCACGATGCGCAGGTTCGCTTGCAACGCGTTGCCATCGCTTAACACGAGATATCTGCATGTCCGGGGAAGGCGGCGCCATCTTCAGATTCCTCCAAAGTTCACGCGAAGAGATACTGCGAACAGCTTCGGCTGTGCCAGATGGGTCGTCGCCATCGGCAGACAGCTTGACACGTGCGGTGCCTGGAAGAAGTGCGCGTTCAGATCGCGCCACGCACGCGCGTCAATCTGATCGCGCTGGGCCCCCGTCAAAACGCGTGTTTCGAGTCCAGGTCACCGCTGCTAACACTTGACTTCTGAAAACCATGTTGCGCCGTCCAAGATATCTGCAATTATTCCAGAAACGCCCCATGCTACGCCAGCCGCGCGCAGCAGCGACGCACCGCGCCTAGACCTCGACGTGGTTGCGACCGCTGGCCTGCATGATGGAGCCTAGGAACAGAGTGGAGGAATGGACTTCGCCGTCGACAGGTACCTTACGATAATGTAGGGCACGTGAATACCTGCGAGCGCCAGTACCAACAAACGTCGGCAATACAACTTGTTTCCCCGCATTCTGTTGGGGACCAATCATGCTCGGCTTGTCGTTCAATATCAGGTCGGAGTTCTGAACTTCGTAGGCCGCCATCTGCGCGTCGCCACACATGTGAGTCTCGGTCAGGTCGTCGGCGCACTTGCGAACGCCAGGGTCTACGTTGGCCCCAGTGAACTCCCACCCCGCAATCATCGAGGCGCTCGCACCAATAGTAAGTGCAACATTCCAAGCAGCAGTGGGCGGCATGAAAGACACGCGGAACTTTATCGCAGCGTCGGCATCACCAATGAATGAGCCCACAGTGTTCTGGTAGCCCTGGGTGTCGATACCGTCGCTGGTCACACATGCTGCTCGACGATGTCTGCCTTTCATGATCGCGCAATCGCCAGGGAAGCATATCTTGTCCACTGCAGCGTCGATGTAGGGATGATCCACTGACGCGAAGACGTTCGTCATGTCATGCTTCGCGGTGATGTGGCTCAACTGCTGCCTGGTGAGTCGCCACTGTAGTGCCAACCCCACTGCGATTGCAGCTGATCGCGGACGTGCCCTCACATAGCCGTGCTCTGCGTCGCCCAGCGGAATGGATGCGAATAATTGCCTAGATGCAACCAATGTCTTTCCAAATTTGCCTAATCCATGTAAAAGTCGGGTACCTCGGGCACGCGGCTTGTTATTCATATTGCTAACTTGATAGGTTTGGGATAGGTTCCACCACGCGTCTAGCCGTTGATGTCGACGAATTCCAGCAAGTTGGGCGAGAATCGCATCACCGAGTACGGGGGGCAGGGAATATCATCGCGCGGTCGAACTCTCGGCAACCGTTTTTGCTCCAATCTCCACTTCTGCCCACGGGCAAGAGAATCGAAATATCTGCAGGCAGAGAACATTCAGGAACAGCTCGTCGGCGTTTGGAATGCTTTCGTAAATAGTGCTGGATCGCGTCGAAATCGTACTGGGCGTGTCTCCACTGATGCGCAGTAGGGCAGAAGCGTTCGTCGTTCGCAGCAGCGGTGTCGATGAAGTGGGCGACATCAATGGGTGCTGCCTCCATTCCGCATTCAGCGCCAGGAAGTGCCATATCTTCGGTCAAGGTCTGAACGGAGGGTGGAGCGTCGGGTAGATCGAAGTAGCATCGATTGCCAGGGCCCTTAACAAGCAAGGCGTCGGCAAGCTCGCCAAACCTCTGCTTCCACAGCCTGTTTGAATTCGTGAAAATGTTGCTCATCTCGGCGGTCGCGTAATCGCCGCCGGAGCTTTTTGCAAGCACCGCTGCAACGTCGAAGGGCTAGCGCGTTCTCTAGGTCGTCCGTGAGATTCTGCTGAGCAAGCATTCGTGCATGCAGGGCGTGTCGGCGTTGCTGCGCAAGCTGCTGGTACTTCGCTTCAAAATATTCAAGAGCACGTGATTGGATCATTGATAGTAAGTGTTGCCATCCAGATTCTATCGTACGCCTTTCTGCCCAATCCGCCATGTCACGGTAGCCGTGCTCGTTGAGGTAGTTAGACAAGTCCATCTCAATGTCATCGCGGAACTGCTTCGCCCAGTCGCAGAACCTTTCGCCGTTCCAAGCTAAGAAGATGCGGGTGTAGCCCCACTGCAGCGTAGTCTGGGGCGTGTCGCATGTGAGGGTGCAATCCACGTCTATATATAGAATCATGGTGTCCAGGAAGCCTTGTGATTGGAATGCTAGGAGTTTTGGTCAGGCGGTAGGCGATGTTGCGGCGCCGTGTTCTCGGTTGATAACGCATCGGCATCAGGAGGTAGTCGATGTGGCTAGTGTGTCCGCGTAGTCCATGATAAAGGGGCCGCAGGGGTGGTGCGTGTTCGTCGCGCACAGCACGTAGTCCTTCATAAACGTGTGAAAAGTTTTCCCCGCGTAGTGCTGCTGTCCGTACGCATGCATGCCTATAGTGGCGTCGTCGTCATCTGTAGTGTTGGTTCGCCCGAGGCCGTCGTTCAGGTCTGTGCCGATGAACACGCAGGTTCGGTTCGGCAAGTTCGAGAGGATGTCGCGTAGGTAGCAAAGGATTTTGTCTATGCTAGCGTCGTTCATGGAGGCGGTGGCGAGGCGCTGCGATCTCCGAGGGAAGTAGGCTGTGAGAAAAGTGAAGTCGAACTGTGAACTCTTCACGCGCGCAGCGCCTACACGGCCTCGAAGAGCAGGTGGAGGCTGCCATATCTTCAGGATGTGTGTTTTCCGGAACCAACGTCGGCTCAACCAGATCCCCGTACCGCATGATGTGTTGCCTGTCGTGTTCTGGTTACTGCGGTGCCATCCAAACTGCAGCATGAGGATCTCTGCCGCTGAATGTGTCTCGTTGGGGACCGTGGTCTTTGTCTGAGTTCCTGAGAAAAGTACCGCATCAATGTGCACCATCTCACGAGAGATCTCCAGGCGTTTGTCGTAATCTTGCAGAGACATCGGGTTCCATGAAATGTGACGCGTGTAGACCGTCTGTGTGTGACAGAGAAGCCCGATTTTCGGGACGTTGGGCATATCGTCCACTCTCTGGAGATCTCTGAAAAGCTCGAGCCAGGGCGATAATATTTATATATATATATATATATATGTATAACCATGGAGCGGCACGGATGGATTGGGGTTGTTTGTTTACAACGTCTGGCTGTCGTCCGCGCACTCGTAACACAAGAAAACTCGAACGGCTACATGGAAAGAGTGCGGCACTTGTTGTCCTGAAGAGGGCCGTTGCTTGAAACGCCCTCGAAAACCACACGGGTGTAAATTTCCTCCATCATGATGGACTAGAATCGAGACGGTGTATTGCAGCATCGTTGATACATCCTGTGGCTGACATCTCCCTCATTATCACACTCCTCCTCCCCACCATCTACAGATTCCTCTGAGAATCACCGGCGACTTAGTCAGCACGATCCGCACCATCATCATCATCATCATCAGCATCAGCATCATCAGCATCGTCATCATCATCATCATCATCATCATCATCATCATCATCATCATCATCATCATCATCATCATCATCATCATCATTATCATCATCAGCAGCATCGGCATCGGCATCGCAATCATAATCGACGACCACGTTATCATCAGCACCAGCATCATCATAATCGTCATCAGCATCACCATCATCAGCATCATCAACAGCATCATCAGCATCATCACAAGAATCAGCATCAGCATCATCATCATCAGCCTCGTCATCATCATCATCATCATCATCATCATCATCATCATCATCCTCATCATCATCATCATCATCATCATCATCATCATCATCATCATCGTCATCGTCATCGTCATCAGTATCAGCATCATGAGCATGAGCACGAGTATGACCCTCATCATCGTTGTCGTCATCACCATCACCATCACCATCATCAGCAGCACTATCCTATTCTTCAGTATCAGCATCAGTGTCATCATTATCATCATCAACATCAGCAGCCTCATCATCAGAATCGGAATCCCCGTCTGGCGCCTCATTCTTTTTATCCGTCCCAACACCCGCGTCATCATCATAATCTGATGATTGCTCCTTACCCACGCCGTCTGTCTTCCATTGTCCTCGTATTCCTCAAAGTGTGGCCTTCGGCGCAGATCCCTATGGGGGCACGAAACGTTGTACTGGGCGGCGGAAGCGTATGCGAACACTGCCACCGGGGCCCTCGGTGGATCTCCCGATGGGGCAACGAAACGCTGTACTGAGCGGGGGGGACGCATGCGAACACAGCCATTGAGGCCTTCGGTGGTGCCCCCTATGGAGCCACGAAACGCTGTACTGGGTGGGGGAGACGCATGCGTACATCGCCACCTAGGCATTCAGTGGAACTCCATATGGGGTCACGAAACGCCGTACTGGGTGGGGGAGACGCATGCGAACACCGCACGTGGTGCATTCGGTGGAGCTCCATATGGGGCCACGAAGCGCGACCCAATTGGGGAGACGCATCCGAACACCGCCACTGGGGCCTTCGGTGGAGCTCCATATGGAGCCACGAAACACTGCTCTGAGTGGGGGAGACGCATGCGCGCACCGCCATGGAGGCCTTCGGTGGAGCTCCCTATGGGGTCACGAAACGCAATACTGGGTGGGGGCGACGCATGCGAACACCGCCACTGAAGCCTTCGGGGGAACTCCCTGTGGGGCCACGAAGCGCTACACTCAGTCGGGGAGACGTATGCGAACACCGCCACTGGAGCCGTCGGTGGAGCTCCCCATGTGGCAACGAAACGCTGTACGGGGTGAGGGAGACGCATGCTAGCACCACGACCGGGGCCTTCGGTGGAGCTCCTATTGGGGGCACGAAGCGCTGTCCTGATTGGGTGAGACGCATGCGAACACCGCCACGGGGGCCTTCGGTGGAGCTGCCCGAGGGGCCACGAAGCGCTGTACTGGGTGGGGGAGGCGCGCGCGAACACCGCCATCGAGGCCTTCGGTGGAGTTCCTTATGGGGCAACCAAACGCTGCATTGGGCGGGGAAGACGCATGCGAACACCACCACTGGGGCATCAGGTGGAGCTCCCTATGGGGCCACGAAACGCTGTAGTAGGTGGGGAAGACACATGCGAATACCGCCATGGAAGCCTTCGGTGGGGCTCCCTGTGGGGCCACGAAACGCGTGCAAGGTGCGCCGAAATTGGGGGATGATGGTGATGATGGCTGCGATCATGATGACGATGATGATGACGATGATGATAACGGCGATGATGATTATGATGGTTACGATGGTGACCGAGATGGTAATGATGATGATGATGCTGCTGATGGTGGTGAGTATGACGATGGTGATGATGATGATGATGAGGATGTTGATGATGCTGATGATGATGGTGGTGATGATGATGGTGTTGGTGATGGTGGCGGTGATGATCATGATGAGAGGAGGGGAGGAAGAGAAGAGAGGACATGAAAGGAGAGGAGAGGAGAGGAGAGAAGAGGAGATGAGAGAAGAGGAGAGGAGGAGAACGCGGGACGCTGTCTCTTCAAAACGAGGACCCAACACCGAATGGTTGGGAAAAACCTATAGACAAAAAATGACGTTAGTCTTCTGGCATGTTCGTTTCCGATGGGCTTCCGAGGCTTCAAGATGGCTCCACACGGGCCCAAAAAAGCCCTAAGATGGGCCCAAGATGGCCCCAAGACGGCCCCAAGAGAGCCGAAGAGCGCCCCAAAAAGGTCCCAAGAGGCGACTTTGGGAGCTCTAGAGGGGGAAATCTAGTTCAGTACCTCCCATCTGCGATCAACGAAATTAGCCTGGCGAAGGACCCAACCATATGCAGTTGTGAATACCGCAATTGTGCTGGGTGGTGGCGGACGCATGCGGGCGGTGCCACTGGGTCCTTCGGAGGAGCCCCCATATGGGGCCACGACGCGCTGTATTGGGTGGGTGAAACGCAGGGAGGAGGGAGGAGGGGGAGGAGGAAGGGGGAGGAGGGGAAGAGGAGGGACGCGGGGACCGCCTCTTCAAAACGAGGACCCAACACCACAGGATGGTTGGAA